CGGAGATTATGGGAAGGCACTTTAGCTCATTTAGCCCATAAAACGCCAAACGTCATTGGTGATTGCACTGCAGGGTAAGCCGCAGCAGTGCGCATTGGTAAGAAAATGATGAAAAAAGAATTGAAGAAAATGTGTGCTTACCTATAGCGCACATTCAAGTAAATCTTTGGACCGCATCACAATTATTCGGCATTTGGCAGTAGGTACAAAACTCCCTGCTGTTTTCGACCTTGGTGTAACAGTCGATTAGTGATCCAGCTTTAAGTCACTCCTGTGCCCAGTTTTCGCTACCGCCGGCACCGACCGCGGGGCGGCGGACGTCAACAGGCCCGCCCTGAGCCAGTGTTTGGACGGGGCAAATGGGCTGGGTCGGCTGGAAACTCTGACCCCCTCCCTCCCCCGCCCCCGGCTGGCAGCCAGCCAGCGCCGACGATATATGGACTGGGCCCCGAGACGCGGCCCTAGCTATCCCGTTACAGGGCAATGGTAATTCCGTTACAGGACGATGATATTCCGTTACAATGCATTTTCCCAAAAAAAAGTTGCGTTTAGAAGTAGAACAACCTTTTCTGAAACACGATGCAATAACTCGCCATGATTGCGGACATTCTGGACTGACTTCGCCTGTCTGTGTTATCTGGCTAAGCAAGCAAATAAATGAATCTCTGTCGTCGAGATGAGGGGATATTAGAAGATCAGATCAGAAGAGCATTTAACTGACGCAACGAGCTCGATGCCCTCTGTGAAGCGTCATGCCAGCTGACTTTTCAGTTACCACGGGTAACTTGTACGCGCATTGACTGATAGTGATGTACAAGAACATGTCCTTTATGACAACGTTCTATTTGGGTAAACCCAATATTGCAAATGAATAACACAATCGACATATGTATTTGTACCTATATCACATGCCGATCGTATAATTGTATTTCACTTTACAAGGGAGTAAAATGTCCCATTTGTGGCCCTGTCACTGGAACTCGGACTCACAGCCTATTGCGGCTCCCCTGCACTGGCATTCACCGTATCTCGCCGCGGCTGTCTCACCCGTCACTGGCGGCCAAGTTTGCCGTGACCGGGGGACTGTCAGCGCTGGGCCGGCGGCCAGGTGCGGTCTCGGCCGGCCGCCGTGACACGGTCAGGCTGACACGGTGACACGGTCAGGCTGACACGGTGACACGATAACACGCCAGCCGGGCGCGCCGGCCGCCGCCCTGACCCGCTGCCCCGGATGACACGCATAGCGGGCGAAGAGGTCTGGCGCCGAGCGCGGGGCCGGGTCAGCGGCGCGGCGCCATGCGCTGACTGGCGGGTCAGGTCGACCGGACGGCGGACGGGCGGCGCCATCCGTCACCCGGCTGTCAGCGGCCGCGCCCGAGCCGGTCGAGGTCACTCAGAGAGGCCGCGGAGATATGGCAGAGCCGGCGAGCAGCGAGGGACAGCGGAGATATGACTGAACCGGCGAGCAGTGCAGAGATATGTATGACAAAGTCGGTGACCGGCGAGGGGCAGCGGAGGTATGACAGGAGCGGCGGCCGGTGCAGAGACTAACTAGATTGCATCTATTTAGCATTAAATATTTCCGAAATTGACGTTACCAATTGCTGTGAATTGCTTCGCTACCAGTGTCAGTGCATTCCTCATCTATTTGACGAGAGCGCAGTTCCGTACGCAGCCCCAGAGATGAAGTTCACTTTGACTGCCGTTCCAAATACATATGTAGATTCATCAAGCTCTTACAGCCCCGGCGATAAAGCCATCGAGTCGCGAGTATAGGACAGACAGACACTTGGCCGGACAATGCCACAACACAGGCGCCCGTGGCTGGAGCTGGGCCAACAGGCTCCCATGTGTCACCTGAGAAAACAGAACTGAAGTGGACAACCATGGCCACGGGGTCATGGCGGCGCGAACGGGACACCGCAGGTGCGGTATTTACACACCTCAGTCAACAGGCAGGGCTGAATTCCATCACACGAGCCAAACAAAATACACCGGGCAGGCGGTGCAGTGTGAATTCCTTAGTTTAACTTCATCGGCTCTCTGCGCAGCTAAAACGCGTGAGCACCTATTTAAGTGTGAAGCAGACTAATATTTGACGAGCAATCATCATCGCCTACAGGTTTGCTGACTGCTGATTATTCGCTCTTGATGCAAATGATCCGAGGACTCGGGATCAGATTAGGATCAGCAAAACGATTTGTCGTAGCCAATTTGTCAAAAAATGTAAAAATCATAATAGGTATGGTTCGAACAATGGCGACCTGCCTCTGACCTGAATTAAAACGGCCCTGTTACCCTCAAGCTTGATAACGTTTGACAATGCAAGACCATTCATGCGTCGCGTATTGCCTGTCACTGTGCAGCACAGAAACCCGGTTGGAGGGGCCCAAATGGAAAATCATTCCCCCCCTCTCCGCCCCGAAGTGTCACTTAATCAGGTCACCACCACGGCCCGGGTTAGTGACGAATGACGATGTTCTGTGCCGACTTAATTGAGCTGAGATAAGTCAAGGTGATGGGCTGGGCAGCTCAAGGAACGGTATTTTCCGTGTCCGTCACACTTGTCAAAGCCTGAACACCAAATTCATCAACGTTAAGTGCGTTATCGTCGTGGATCTGAACGCCCAGTAACTGTGTCCACAAGGAAGTCCATAAAATAAACGGTAATTTGCATATCATTCGAAAACAGCCTTTTCAACTGGCTTTATTTAAAAGTATTATGTGCTTTTAATCCGCGCCCCACGGGGGGGCTATTCATAGCTCCCTCCCGTTTTTCTGCAATAACTTCCAAACCGCTTGACGTATCGACGCCAAACTTTCATTACCTTCGGCTACATCAATTTGACACCTTGTGTCAAAATTTGAACTTCGTAGCTACCATAGGTCGGCCGGAAATGACGTCAGAGTGACGTCATGTTCGGCCGATTTCGACGCAAAACATTGAACCACGGCAATCGCTCCCAAGAGCTCAGTTTTTAAGCTAGATCCAATTTCTTTGCATGAGAGGACTCAAAATAGACTGCGCTATCAAACTGCTATCTCGGATTTTCGACATTTTGAAAATTTTGAGAATTTGATATAATAAAATTCAAAATTTATGTTTTTACATTTTTTTCAAAAAGTTTTTGACTTTTCGAAAATACCGGAATATATGTGATAGAACGCATTATAATGACTAACTCTAGCAAGTTTTAGCTAAATATCTTCAAAAATGGCTAAGTTATACGCATTATTGCAAAAAATTCACAATTATTAATTTTTCAAATCAATTTTTCAGCCCGTATTTGACATCGTATGCCAATATAAATAGCACCATCGTGTTCCTGAGCTCAAACTGCATCCAATAGACACCTTTTTTGTTGAAAAATTTTAACTTCAGAATTTGACCTTTTTTGACCTGAAAGTGGCCTGACCTAAGCTAAATTCGACTCAAAATGACCTCGAATGACACAGACGACATCAAATTCGAAATCTTTGGCCTAAATGGACCATAAAGCATGTGTCACGTGACCGACGCATGATATAATATTTTCGTGACCTGTGATGACCTGACCTTGACCTGAAAATCAAAGTACAAGTTTGGTACCCCCAGGGTATCTAGAGCATCTGTTCACGAGTGTGTGAACCAAAAATGAGCCTGATCTGACTTGTAAGACGGCGGCCAGAGCCCAAAACGTGAACAAGCCAAAATGCTAATAATTTTTACTTTGACCTGACCTGTGACGTCATCGGTGACCTCGAGGTCAATGAAATTAGGTTTCGTTCGACAGTTTTTCCGGGGCTATCAGACGCCGTTTGAATTTTGACGATCGGCCCAGTAGTTTCGGAGTTAGGAGGGGGGGGGGCTATGAATAGCCCCCCCCCCCCCCCCAGTATATGCGTGTTATACGCAGACCCCAGTGGGGCGCGGGTTAAACAATCCGTCTATGTTTGAAAGCATGTTGTGTTTTGAACAGTCTATGTGCACAACAGACACAGAGCGATCGTCGACAACGAGACACTCAGCCAACTCCTGCCCTGTAGTATAATGTGGCCAGAGTTGGCCTACGTTACGTTATTTTGAAGTTTTCGGTAACCCGTAGCTGTCAGTACCGTTTCGTAGCGTAGTTGGGATGTTTCGGTAGCGTAGTATCGAAAATAATAGGATAACGTAGGAACTACGAAATGGATTCCGTAGCAATTACAGGTCAGCTGTATTTGTATAAGGTACATAATTTTTTCAGTTTACTCATATCGTCACCAGACCTCCGGCCGTTTACAAGGATGTGAGACGCATGCTATATGAATACCACTGAGTCTTTCTTCCGGCCGGACCGACACCGGGGATTTCCCACTGGGGAGTCCCAGGGAATTCCCTGTCGGAAGTCCAGCGCATCTAGCGAGTAGCGCGTAGGCACCGCCGCACCGACGATGCTGAAAAGCCGGCGATCATTGTGCGCAGTATTTGGCTTACTAGAGACTAACCGTTTCCACTGGGTAGTGGATGATGACATATTGCATAACGTAGTACGATAAAATAATTTGCTGCGTTAATTAACAAATACCGTAATTCAGTAACGTAGCAATATATAACGTATCGTAATTCGGTATCGTAGTTTTGGCCAAAAAAGCAAACGTAGCGTAACGTAGTGCGTAACGTAGCGTAGCGCAGGCCAACTCTGAATGTGGCAGATCCATTTGACTGGGGACTGTGGTCACCGATCCACGCGCACTCGGGGAAGGCTAGGGACACTCAGTGAGGGCCAGTAACGCTCCGGAAGGATCTCGGGGACTCAGGTGAGGCTTCAAGACACTCGGGTAAGGAGAAAGGACACTCGCGTAAGCACCGTTGACACCATACGAGCTCTGTGGCCATCCTGTCTACAGACAATTCCATACATCCGGTCCAACACGCGTCAATGGACACAGCAGTCCCCTCCCTGAGGTGGCTGACCGGCTCAACGCTGACCTAGCGGCGCACGGCGGCGGTGGCGGCGCGGCGCTAACGGCGCACTCACCGGCGAGTAGGCGGTCGGCGACGAGTAGCTGCTGGTCGAGTAAGAGCCGCCGCGCGGCCCCGACGTCTCGCGCGTCACCTTATAGCTGTAGCTGGACATGGCGAGGGCGGCTGACCGGCGAGAGCAGCGACACAGCCTCCACCTGATGTCCGACCGTCGACTGCGGGTGGCCCGCTGAGCCCGCTCCGCCGCCGCCGCCGCCGCCCAGAATAGCCGCCGAACGGGCGGGGGCGGCAGGTGGCGCCGCCCCCGCCCTGACTCACCGCCCGCCGGCCGCTATTCCCGGATCTGCTCGTGCTCGACACGCAGAAGAAACGGACCACTGGAGGAGAGGGGGTGGATACGGCGGGGAACCAGACTATGGACCGATCGGCTAGCAGCAGCCCAGGGGGATGATAGCGGAAACTAGGCCGCCACTAGGACCAAACTCTACGCAGATCCACAGAGCTGTTAGCTGGGCAGTGGGCACCGTTTGACGCTTTGTAACATCATCTTACGTGAATGCCTCAAACCAGACTGCAGTTCATTCTGATACCCGTCATCGGTCATTTGCCGTTTTCGGGAAGGATGAAATGACGCGCGCTCCCGCGCAGGGCGCCGTTCCCGGAACGGCGTCCGGTGGGGACCCTCCCCGCTCCGCCAGCTACCTGTCATCGGCCGGCGACCATCCAACTGAGACCGCTCATTACGCCCGCGCACGCCGCTGGCAGCCCCATTTTACACTCTGTTCAGAGTCGCTCCGTCTTGGCCGCCAGAATCTCCCGACAGCGGCGACCGACGCGTGACCTTCCCTGCCCGACTGATTCCGAGCAGAGCTTCTGCCGGCGCCAGCGGTGCTCCTTAGCAAAAACGCGACAGCGCCCGCTGCGACTATTCTCATCTGTGTTCAGTGTCTGTTTGCCAAAATCCAATGTCACACAACACTCTGGGTGAAATAGCAGTGTATTGAATCAGAGAAACATGGACCATCGTGGCGCCCCACAGACCCGACCCCGTGTCCCAGCTGTCCCGCCGGCCGCCTACGCGTGCTCCTTGCTGAAGTGCGCCACCTCCCAGTCGCCCTTCACCTCCAGGTCGTCCTCGATCTTGATGCTACCCGCCTTCAGAGTGGCGATCTGGAATTTGGAGAAGGCGCGGCAGTCGCGGTAGTAGCACACGGTCATACACCGGATCAGCAGCTCCCGGGCGGCCTCCTCCGAGAGCGGCGGCTGGCCCTCCATCTTCTCGCGCAGCAGCGGCGTGGCCAGGTGGCCGCCCATCCCGGAGACGATCTGCGGCGCCGTGTACGCCGTGCCCAGCTTGTCCACGAAGCCCAGGAAGGGCTTACCGTCGTCGTCCAGGCCGCCCACCACGAATGTGGTCCACAGCGGGTCGAAGCGCGAGCGCCGGTTGTACAGAACGCGCGTCAGCCAGCAGTGGAGTGCCGGCGCGCGCGTCACGATCCCGTCGTCCAGGCACTCCTCGTCGATCATCTTTTGGTCGATGATGTCGCGCAGGAACTGGAAGTCGGCGTAGTCGCCGGTGCAGCCCAGGATGACGTGGTCGTTGACGCGCATCAGCCGCCCGATGTTCTGGTAGCGCGCCAGGGAGCCGTAGGAGCCGAGCTTGTCGGCGGCAATCATCACACCGCCGTCGAACTGCAGTCCGATCACAGACGTACCCGTGGTGATGGGCGCCTGCCGAAACGGAACGGAACGGGTGTCCCTGGTAAATGCCATTTATAAAGGGATGAAAGCAATCAGCCAGCTCCATAGCCGGCTTATTTAGTTAAGCATCGAAATAACAATGATCGTTTTAGCCTTGTTGCCAGTCGGCCAGATCGAAATAGGTAACTATAATTTTCTGACCAGTTTCGTCCCGTCGGCTACGCTAGCCGACTATCATCATTTGCACGAATCCATTGATAACCTTACATTCCACGATGAATTCATAAAAAGTCTAGGAACAGCGCGAAGCCCAGAGCCACCGGGCGGGAAACTGCGGGCCGATATCGAAGGACCGCCCGACCCACACGGTGAAGCGGTGATGACCCCGGGTATAGTGTCGGCCTGACAGGGCCAGCCGAACTCACCTGAGACCGGGTGTTGGGCAGCTGACGCGGCTGCACATTCGGGCCCGTATACCGGTACTTGGACGGGTCGAACGGCTGGCTGGCCTGCAGCGGCATCAGATCCATCGTGCTGGTCTGGGGCGAAACGGGTACGCTGGGTCAGCAGTGATCGTTTGTGCAACTATGACGGCCTGTAAATACAGAGCGCCGGATTAATGGGCCACATAGCATTGGGCAAATTTGAGAAATGAGAACCGCATCTAGCAGCTAATTGGTATAAAGTAAGCTCACGCCGTGGCTCGCGCGGGGTGTAATTAAGCCAATACCTAGTTAGTCATTCCCTTCAGGCTTTTCGCAAACACCTTTAAAAAATAACGGCCTCATCTCACATTTTTGCACGTTAAAAATGTCACCCCTGTCCCTTAGCTCAGGTAACCAGGGCCAAGTTGAGTGATCTCATCCCAAGAAAAGTCAGTGTTCACCTTGACTACACAGACAGCGATTGCTTAGAAACTTACAACTAAACATAAGGAAGTGTGATAGGATGAGTATTACGTGCATCTCATATTTTGCATCGAAGACCGATAGACAGGCTCATTTTGAGACCTCTCCATTATGTCAATGTCAGAAAATCAAACTGTGCCTCTTTGGGATTAACCCGGCAGGCGGTGAGCCTCCAAGCCACCTTCCGCGCGGTGGGGGGGGGGGGATTTTTTGCCCCCCCCCCCTAATCTCCGAAAGTACTGAACGGATCCAGAAAATTCAAACGACGTTCGATAGCCCTGTCAAATTTGTCAAGGGAAACCAAATTTCATTGACCTCGGAGTCACCGATGACGTCACAGGTCAGGTCAAAGATAAACAAAATGTTTCACCGTTCACGGGTCTTCTAGGGAAAGCGCTAAACACAGAGTAAAACGCATTTTGTCGAAAATCAGCGATAGGGCGTCAGTTATATGTTGCTATTAGAGGTCACTGGTCATACCAGGTCAGGTCACAGGTCAGGTCACCAAGGGTCACCACATGAACCCAACTTTACTAAAGTTGTGCGATGCATGTTTTATGGCTAATTTTTCATTTCCAACTCAATGGTGTTGGCTATAAGACCAGCAGGTACGGTTTAGGTCACTTTCTCGTGGAGGTCAGGTCAAGGTCCCGTAGCTCAGTTGGTAGAGCGTTGGACTCCGCGTGGTGAGAGCACGCGTTCCCGGTTATAACAGTCCGGGTTCGATGCGCGACTGGCGCTCGACATTTATGGGCCTCCTGACAGGTATGGCTGCGGTTGGTGGCAGGCCGTAGCCAGGCGAAGTCAGTGAGGGGACCGGCCGTGCGCGGCTATGTGCGCACGTTAAACTTTGGACTCTAAATTCTGCCATAGAACCGGAATTGCGCGATCGGAGGGTAGAGGGCAGGGTCACCGCAACAAGCTTCGCTTAGCGGTGGTTCTGTCCTTGTGAATCCTTCCTATCAAAAGGTTCGGACTAAATTTATAAAAAAAGGTCAGGTCAAAAAGGTCAAATTTCAAAGTTGTTAGTTTTGCATGAAATGGGTATAGATTCGATGCAGCTCGTCACGGGGAGTCAAATGGCGGTCTTTGTTTTGCGCTACGAGGTCTGGAATTGCTAAAAATTGAGCTTGAAAATTTGACGTCATCAATTTTGAACAGTTTTTTCGCTATAACTTGGCCAAAAAAAGAGGTATCGATCTCAAATTTGGTATGTAGATAGAAGGTGGTAGGGACTATCACATATATTCAGTTTTTTCGAAATTCAAAAAACTTTTTGGACTTTTTGGCGATTATACTCAAAAAATCTATTTTTTTTATTTTTGGGGTCAAAATCCAAAAATTTCAAAAATCAGAGATAGCAGTTTTGTAGCCCTCTTAATTCTACACATTTCATGTCGAAACAGTTTTCTGTTTCTCTTAAGCTGTAGGCCTGACAGCTCTTCCCGCGAAACCTTTTTTGGGGTCGAAAATGGCAGAAATGACGTCACTCTGACGTCATTAGCGGCCAACCTATCATAGCCTTTGTAAAAAAATATTGGTCACAATGTGCAATAGCTATTCACGGGAGGGTACTGAAAGTTTGGTGACGATTGGCGCAGCGGTTCTGGAGATATATCGAAAAAACTAGGGGGGTGGACAAAAAAATGCCCCCCCCCCCACCGCCTGGAAGGTTAAAGCATTTGCCCATACACTTAAAACATCGCTAATAAGACGCTTTTTTGAAAACTGAAGTGGAAAGTAATACGCGTGCCCCCCCCCCCCCCAAATTTCAACTCTAAGGTCATATGAGCCCAGGAAAGGTCACTGACAGTTATTCAGGCGATAACTTTTGACAGTAGCATATTGGAGACGAAAGCATCTCGGATGTGTACACTCGGGGGCAGATTGATGTTCTACAACTCTTTATCCACCGGGTTCCTATGGCTCAGCATTGGCAGCAGCCGCCTGGTACCGGTAGACTGTGCCGCTTCACTTACTTGTCAAGCGGCACAGCCTACCCACACCGTATGCCACCGGTCTGGGTCGGTGGCTGGAAGGCGATGTGGGCCGCCTGTGACGTCAGCGCAGCGGTGAGGGCCGAGCCCGGAGGCATGGCTCGGGTCGGCGCGGCGCGGCGGCTGGCGAGGGCTGGGGAGTGAGACGGGGTGGGAGCACGGACCATCGCGCGGCTGAGCGAGTGTAGTTAACTTTCGCGTCTCAAGGCGCCAATTATTCTACTTAACAATTGTGCTAAAGCAGTTGTTAAAATGTCCTATCCCCAAGACAGCGCCTATCATCATACTTGCCATGCACATTACGACACACTTAAACGTGGCATTGGGATTTGGGACAGCCGATAGAATTTATATCACACGTGCATCGAGTTGCGGATCTACATTGTTTTTAACAGATAAGTATTAAGGCCTTGATTGAGCTCATTGGTGTCTATTATTTCGCACAGCAATCGTCCAGAGACGTGGGAACTGGGGTTTTTGGATAGCGCGGCGTCCCAACTTTAAGCAACTCGTTCCTCTAATGTGTGGTCGCAGCCACCAATAGCAAACCGTTCCATCTAGGAACAAATAAGTCGCGCACCTGGGACGGTTCGAACCGGGTTTCTCCAACCGGTCACCCTACGAAGCTAGCGTCTATCCACCGAGCTGCCGAAACCAGCGACCACCCGCCGCGGTCAAACGCGATCAAATGTCACAATACTGTCATTGGCGGTCAGCGGGTCAATCTCATTTTGTTTTGTGCAGATGGAGACCATTCTCGGTAGCTCAGTGGATGGACGCTCGTGTCGTGAATTGACCGGTGGGAGAAGCCCGGCTCGAACCCCCTGAGTGGCCGACTTTTTGGCTCCTAGTTGGAACGGTTTGCTATTGGGGGCTGCGACCACATATTAGAGCAACAGTAATAATCGCTTTAAATTGGGGCGTTGGCTGCGGCACTACTCATAACCCCCAGTTCCCACGTCTCTGGACGATTGCCGTGCGAAGCAATAGACACCAATCTGCTCAACAAGGCCTTAATACTAATATGCTATACAAAATATAGCTCCGCACCTCGATGCACGAGTGACATAAGTTCTATCGGCTGTCCCATTGCCACGCTTAACCCGCGCCCCGCTGGGCTATTCAGCCATACGCGCCCTGCTGGGGGGGGGGGCAGATTCTGCCCCCCCTGTCTAACTTCCGAACCGATGCACAGTGTGGCCGAACACCAGTTTAGCGCGAATTTAATCCCAGCGCCGCTCGGACCCACTGAAAATGGTTCTCTGGTTCCAAAACTGACATTTACCCCTCGCCGGACCTATTGGTTTTCAAAATACGCGCCGGCCGAAGGGGGGGGGGGGTACGACCCCCGTCGCTGTTTCGCCCCTGATGAAGCTAAAGCCTCGCGGAAAAAAACGAGCGTGTGTGCCGTTACGAGACGCAGCAACTGGTATCCGATTTTAAGGTCTCAGGTTAACCTGTGACCTCTGAGCTCAGGTCAAGTGGCCCAAGGCACGGATTCGTTTTTTATTAATAACTTCGCGAAAAAATGCCGCAGAGCCGCAATTTTGGCATCATCGTGTTCGCCTCGCTCAGGTGCGCCGAATGGTATACTTTTTGTTCGGTTGAAGTCAACTTAAGGTGTTACCCTCGGGTCAAGGTCAGGTTAGAGCCCCCCAGATCACGAAGTTGGTCAAAGGAGGTCATGTTGCATATCATTCGTTTCGGCAGGTCTTCCTGAGTCCATTGGTGGCCTTCCCGACTCGCTAGCTCAATTTGATCGGGAGTTATTGACGAAAAACTCTTATTACCCTAGTGACGTCATAAATGACGTCACGTAAGGCCAATAATGCAAAAGTGAAGCATCGGACCTTGCAAGGAGTGCATGAAATCACGATTCCGTGTGCTTGAGATAGTTAATTAGGCTGGAGCCTGTTCGGCCGCGCCGCCCCCGACCTTGGTCAGGTCACGCCGTGCGGCCGACTAGACATGTTCAAAGCTTAATTGACGGCAAATAGGCAAAAAGTGGCAGCTTAAACTTGCTCGCTTATGTTCAGAAATGTGCGGAGAGTTCAGCCATGCCCTATTCGTCATATCCATTTTTATCCATTTTGACATTTTCCAACTTCTTTATGAAATACTATCGTGAGAACGATACACATGCAGGGCTCCTGTTCTAACGCATTAAATTCAGAAACCATTCATTGAAAAGCTACCGTGATAGCAGAAACAGCTTCATCATGAATTGTGCTATCCGGTGATATGCTATTTTCTCATATATCTTCTCGAAGCTTCCGTAAAATTTACATTGAAAACTGGACATATTTCTCAGTACCATAGCCCGATTTCAGGAACCGGAGCGTGGGTCTACTTTCGGCAGGGATATAAGTCCTCAAATGATAAATTGGCTTAAAAATAAGGTTCTATCCGATAGCCTCGGACAATTTCCTACCCATTGATAGGTATAAATAACAGTTAATCGAAAGTCGGGTTTTTGATTAAATTCGCGCTAATCTGGTATTCGGCAAGACCGTGCGATGGTCGTAGAAAGACGGGGAAAACGGCAATCGAAAGCTCTCAACAAGGCGGATCTAAAGAGCCCAAATTTTTTTGCTTAAGTAGGTCAGAGGTCAGGTCAAGGTCAGGTCAAGGGTACAAAATGCAAGCTTCTACAGTATCGGCCTTGCACCGTAGTTGCCGAAGAATGGACT